GACCGTTCGCCGACGAATCAACCTGGTGGGCCAACCCCGAGAAAGTTACGCGAGAGAGATCGAGATGGAAAGAGGAAGAGAACGAGAGAGAGAGAGAGAGAGAGAGAGAACAAACAGCCGGCCGGGGTAACTCGGGGGAAAATTCGCGCGATGGAAAAAGAGGAAAGGCGAAAGCACGGACACGAAGATGGCACTGTGCAGCCTGCATCGACGTCGCGACGCTCTCACGAGGGTGGGGACGACGCGGAAGAAGAGAAGGGTTGAACGCGGATGGGTGACATCGTGCGGGAAATGGGTGTGTATCGCGGAGTAAATTTCGGGACAAAAATGTGTTCCGGTGAAAATGTAATTTCGCTGCTGCTTTTATGGGCGACGAAGAATGGTGAGAGGGGGGAGGGGGAGGGCAGTTTACGTCTGTATGAGAGTTGGATGGTTTAATTGGAAAATTCTCCTCCCTCCGATATTTGTAAGTAGGTATAAACAGGGAGCGAAACGATGAATAATGCGGCACGAACATTTGTAATATAGAGGAGGACAACATGACGCGTCGCGGGAAAAACCGATAACTCGATTGACCCGAAAGTTTACGACAATTGAAACTTGTGATTAATCACTCGGTCCTTCACCGGTGTATTGACTCCATGCCATGTAAAAGGAACGTCAAGTAACTAGAACGAACGGAAATGCCATTTTTTATTCGATGTCATATCGCGAACGAGCATGAAACGGAACTTTTAATTAAGTGCGCTCTCGCAATATAAGCAATTTAATTTTCAATTTAAATAAGAGTTTACATAGACTAGAATGATTTCACATGATGAACTGGCTCCCCGCCCGGAAATAAATCAATAAATCTTGATATAACAAAAGAAATATTCATACAAGTGATTATATTCGTATTATTTTGCTTGTAAAAGCTTTGGATTGCTATAATCGCAATATTATCAATACATATCGATACATATCAAGCAATATATTCAATATATACTAAACTTTCTAAAAGAACATGTATAAAACAAAACTCTCTTATTAATAAATTGATTTAATTATAATAAATCATACGTCAAAATATATTGGATAAAGAGCAGTGCTTGGCATCGTCCAAAGTTCCCGACGAGAGTTCGTAAACCTCGTTACAACGTATAGAACGCTTAAGCTTTGAGAAACCATGTGTTTGAGAACCCCTACTCTATACTAGGGATATAACGGATTATTCCCCTCGGTGCATAGAGTAGTCGACTATGCCACTTTGCTCGGACCACCGTCCCTCGGCTTTCGCCCAACCCCCGCAACAACCCATTCCGACATCGATGAGCGTCAATCCCGAGTCGGCGGGGGCGCGATCCAAAATATTTATCAAACGGCTTCTTGTCCGTTAATCCGCTCGTTTTATCGCGGCTCGATTAACCGCATGTCCGCGGGTTATTAAAATTTATCGATGCGAGATTAAACGAAAGCGTGTCCTTAATTTCTGAATTTACTTCCATTACGATATTTGTCAAATCCATTGAGTTGAGGGACAATATATTACATTAACTTTTAAGAAAGTTGTAACATAAAAAATTGTAAATTAAACATTGAGAATTAATTGTTACTTGTGCTGATAAATATTAAGAGTGAAGACAATAAAGATTTAGATAACTAAATATTGAGAAAATTTGAGGATTGATTATAAAATTGCATTCGAAGTGACATGTGAAAATTTCTATGAAAATTGCGAGATTGGAAAACAATAGGTTGCGAGAACAGAGATTACATATCGCTTGTTTGCACATGAATGTACGTTCGTTAAATATTACCTCCCTCGGACGATCGCGCGGTGATCATTAATAATATCGTGGCAAATCGTAGCGTGCAAAAATAATGACGTCACTATTACAATGGAGAGCACTCGTATCGATGTCACTCGTCGAATCGAACGGTGAATAAATAGATGATACGCGTCAACCAACCATGTATCGACGTGTCGGTATACTTTCCAAACAACTTTGACAAAGCGACTGCCACGAACCGTGATTGGCAAGAGACACCGAGTGAAAATATATACCCGCTATAATCGCACAAAGAGCGAAAATAGTTTGTGCCATCTCTACTTTCGTTGAACTTTATACTTTTAACGTGCAAAACTCAGACATTAAAATAACGTACCTATTATATAGCAATAAATATTGTAGTATGTATCACAATTTATGTAAAACCGATTTGTAAAATTTGCATCTCGGCTTTCATGTCGAGAAATTATAGCTTGCACAAAGTGCATAATCCGTACACGTGCATTAATAGCAACGTAACTAAAAAAAGAAGTATTAAAAAAACTTATTAGCATTCACTGGAATATAAAACGAGCACAGTTATAAAAGTGATTAGAAAAAGTGTCCCCTATGCGGCTTGATAACATAATTTAGCAGAATCTCTCCCGTTCCTCGCACCTCTAATAAAGAGAATGGTATTTCATTATGTGCAATTAAGATTTTAAAAATTATGACTTGTTCGCGGATACGCAATTTTGCTGCGATGCAGTAAATTCTTTTTCCACGACATTACGCGCAACGGGGATCTCTTTGGAGCGCACAAAAATACCATTTACGTTTTTAACCGGGACGTTTAACAGTTAACGTGCCGTATACACTCGAGTGTGTACACGTCGGTTTTCCACCGCGGGTGCTCGCTTCCCAATTTTGTTGTCGAGCCGAGTCGAGCCGAGCCGAGCCGCGGGCGCATCCACGACACGTACGCGAGTTGATTGACGCGCGAATACGTGTCCGGTGTTACATGGCTTGCGAACAAGGTTGCGAACCAGCACGTACGAGCGCGACGAACGACGACGACGAGAGCCCGATGTGTGCCAAGGCGAGAGATATACCGAGGATCGTTGGAAAAAGTACGGATTTCACGACTCGCAACAATAATATGCCGGTATCCTGTGCACACGCCAAACACAAAACGCGACATATATTCCCAACGTATTCCTCGCAAAATACGCAATCACACAATTTTTGCGGACATATTTATATATTTCAATTTTAATATTTTCTTTGCGCTCAGTAATTAGAATTACGAATAAAATTCTAGATAATAGGATTATCTGAATTTAGGAGAAATAGAAGATTTTATTATTTGATTGTTTGTAATGTTTACAACGCAAACATTCACGCGATAAGCGTACACAGCGGCCAAGTTCGAGCGATGGAAAAAAAAAAAAAAAAAAATTCCCCGTGCATTCGACAAGAAAACTCACCCCGTTCGTCATGTTCGGCCAATCGTAAAATACGATAACGTTATGGATCTTCTCGAGGGGAAATAATGCACAATTTTCGATGGCGCTACGGATCAAGGGAACGAAACGCGCGCGCGTACGCGCGTGCATGAGACGGGATTTATTTATGGCGCTTCGTCGTATCTCTCAAACGATATTTTTCGCTCCGCGTTTATTTTCAGATATACATATGCACGCCCGCGTGCGGAGTTTGCGACGGAAAACCAAAGCCCTCGTATTTTACAATAACGCTCCCCGTCCCACCATACGAGAAGCGGATTTATTTATTCAAGTGTCACGACGATAGTGTCGTCCCCCGATATAGAATAAAAGAGAAGCAAATATGTGAAACATGTCAAGATAATATCGATTCTTTAGAATTTCCTATTTGGACAGAAATAAAAATTTTATCACGTCTCTCTTTCTCTTCGTCATCTTTTCAATATTCCAAGATTCTGTTTAATTTTTCAATTTATAAAAAGGAAAGAGTTTAAGTTAACTCTTTTAAATAATTCAACTTGGATTATTATTGCGTCCTAGATATTTTTTGCTAATAAAAGATAAAAGTGTAATCTTTTCTATTTTAGAATCTTTTATACATCGTACTTTAAACGAAGCAATAAAGCCATAAAAGATATATACTATTCACATTTGAAATTATATTAAGCTCTTGAATAAATTTACGCTATTGGTTATTTAATATATTCTTATTAATTATCTAGTAATTCTTATTAATTGGCGATCTAGCATTCTTATTAATATATTAAATTTTTATTGCAACTCTTTTTTTAAGAACCTAAATTACTTTTTTTTCCCTTGCTACAACCTCCTATAGTTTTTAGGTGAAATTTTTTCTACTGCACGCAGCGAGATGGAACGCAGCATTGAGGCGTGCACGTGCGCGTATCATGCGTAATATCGCTTCGTTGCGGTCCGTTCACGTTCTATGCATATGGACTTATGTAATTGATTCGATGCCGACTCTCATCTCGCCGCGAATGAATTAGGTGCGTACGAGCGTTACGCGTCGCCGCCGACGAAGCGAAGATACAGATCGGAGGAGGGTCTGACTCGAACTCGTAGCGACTAACGAGCTGCCGGAAACCAGCATTACATATTACATCTTCCGGCCGGAATGATTCGAAAGAGAGAAAGGAAGTTCTCCTGTTTTTCTTGTTAACATGTTTCCCGTTCTTACGCGGCGATCTATAGCGCGGTAAAAAAATTCCACGAATATAATTCAGCTCATCGTCTCACAAAAAAAAAGACCAATCTAATATTATAATATATCTCTCATCTTTCCGTCTTTTAAAATCGCAGTGACAGATAACATTCTGTCACACATTGATGAAGAATGCAAAGTAATGAGTAATAGTGTCGTTAACATATTATACAGAATATTTCAAAATTAGCAGAAAATGAATACGTTCTTACTTCTTGTGAAATTTGGAATTAAAAATAAATATAGGTATTAGCTTTTTGGCCACGAACCAACTGAGAAAAAATAGAGTTTCTCGTAAACTAAACTTTATAGATAAAAACGAATAAGAATGGATATTATTCGCCATTCAATTCAAAATATATTTTGCCTTAATCAAATTTTGAGAAACTTTATGATTAAAATATCGAATAATAAAATTTAAAAAGTTGTGAGAGAGATTTGATATCGAAAAAAAGAAATTATTCCAAATTTCGCCGACATTGCGACGAGATAAAGTAGCAGTTTCAAAGGTAAGCCACTTACCTTTGGTTCCGTCTTCATCTTTTTCGCGGGTGGAGGACTAGCGGCAGTGTCCATAGCCTCCTCGGCGGACGTTGTAAGCGGCGGGCCCGGCACCGCGGCGATTTTGGTCTGCTCCGGCTTGGCCGCCGCGCCGGTCGCCGTGGCGCTCGCCGGACTCGGCGGCGGACAGGGTGCCGCCGCGCTGGTCGCGGGCGGCCCGGGGCCTTGCGATACGGAGAAACCTGTCCTCGAGCTGGGCGGTGGTCCCTGGGTCTGTTGCGGTGCCGTGGCGGCCGGAGTCGGGCCCTGAGATTGCGTCGCGCCGCCGGCCGAGTTCTGGCCCTGCGGCGTCGGTCGCGCGGTGCCGTTCATCTCCGGCTTAATCTGCTGAGGCGTATGATTGCTCTGCGGCTTCTCATGCTTGTCACGCGCCTTGTCACGCCGATGACCGCTGGAGCCGCGTTTGGAACCGGCGGTAGACGAGGGCGCGGCGCCGCCGGTGCCGCCGGCCGATGCCGGCGAGTGACTCGGTTTCGACTTGTTCGACGAGGACGACTGACCGCCGCCGCCGCCGCCGGCCGCGCCGCATTCCGATTTCTGCGAGTTCTGTGCGACCGCGGCCGACGCGGAGGCCGAGCCGGCGGCGGTCGAGGATGAGGATGTCGAAGACGCGGCGGTGCCGTTGTTCGAATCCTGTGACGAGGCAGTGCCGTTGATCTCGTTCGATTTGACGATCTCGTGCTTGGCCTCGCTCGTCTTGGTACCGGGCTTGGTGCGTTTGATCTTCATCTTGAGGCCCTTGTCGACGGTGGCCGAATGTTCAACGGCCATCTTGCCGGGATTTCCGGCGTTACCGTGGACGGCGTTGACGCCGCTCACGTTCACGCCCGACGCTTGCTTGTTACCGGGGCCGGTAACCACGGAAGACGCGGTGCCGTTCGCGTTACCGGTGCCGTTCGTGTTGCCGGCACCGTTCGCGCCGCTGTTGCCGCTACCGGGACTGTTGGATCGCGTCGACGAGTTCACGCCGCACGAAGAGGACGTTGACGACGACGATGAAGACGATGATGAGGAGGACGACGACAACGACGATGACGATGACGAAGTGGACGACGAAGATTGGCTGCTGGCGTTCGTGCCAGACGACGGGACGGACGAGGAATTGGAGGAGTTGAGACTCGTTGAGTTTTGTAATTGATGATGATTCGCGTTATTCGGTGCCGATGCTGCCGAGGCAGGCGTAGAAGCCATGCCTGTCCCCGAGCTCAATTTCTCGTCCCTCGTCTTCTCAATGTCCGCATCAAGATCGATTATCAGGTCACCTATGCCGATGTCCCATTCGTTGTCGTCGTACTCAAAGTTATTGGTCGCATTCGTCGCGGCCGGATCCAGCTCACCGGCGTTAGCAGCCACTGTGCTTGCTTTATTAGGCTCACGCTGCTGGCCCGACGATGACGACGACAATGACGACGACAATGATGACGACGACGACGACGACGACGATGACTTGTCTCGACCCTGATGATGATGATGGTGGTGATGATGGTGATGATGATGGTGATGATGATGGTGACGATGATCGCGGTGTTCCCTACCGATCAGCGCTCTCTCCTGTCTCTTCGATTGACCACCGGCGTTGCTGTTTCCTAAGCCGTTGTTGTTGCTGCCGTTGTTGCTACCGTTACTGGGGTTACCGTTACCGTTACCGCCACCGCTACTATTACTACTGCTACTACTACTAGCACCACCACCACCGACGCACGGAGATGGTCCTTTGCGGTTTACGTTAGGGAGGCGACCGCCTAGTGGCGTGGTCGCCATGCCCTTGGAAACGTTTCCCCGGCGCCCGCCAGCCTGGTCACCGACTGCCCACCTTTTCTCACTTTGGATCCCAAGTAGCAATGGTAGCGTGTGCGATTACACGCGTTATCATTACCCCGACCACCGCCCGCGAGACGCGCCTCGTCCATCGAACACATCACTCACTCTCTCGCGGCTACTCTAGCTCGACGTAATTCGCGATATATCCGGCTGAATCTCTCTTTTCTCTCCCCCTTCCTTCTCTTATCGTGCGTACACCTTATCCACCTTGAGCTCTTTTCACCGCACTTGCTCTTAATTCTTACTCGCGTTAATTCTTACTCGCGAAGCCAAGATCGAGCAACCTGATATACCTCTCTCACCACTCTTCACCGACAACACACTGATTCTCGAGACACGACACTACGATCACAGCCACTACTACCCCTCCCCCTCGACGCGATCACGAACACAGCACTCGACACCATTCGTGATTACTTTCAACTTTATAAGGAATCTCGGTGATCATCCGTGCATTCTTGAGACTCTTCTTTTCACCTGCTGTCTTCCGCTTGTCACGAGTTAAACCATGTCGGGGATATTCCCGATCGGCGTCAGCCTAGCGTGCGGTTCTCTCCTTCGATCTCCCGATGGGACCGCGCTTCGGCTGAACGACGTGCTTCCGATCTGTAACACATAAATGATTCCTTTCACGTCGATGTAAAATGTATAACGATTGCACTTAACCAAGATTATTTCGTCGAAATAGTCTTTTCCGAGAATATTCCATCATTCATTATTTAATTTAAATTAATTTGAACTAATTTATTGAATTAAATTCTTGCGCATATAAGATATCGGAATCTGGAAGCTGTGTTTTATTTATCTTGGAAAAAAATATATTCATCATTGTCTGCTATTTTTCATTTCGACTCGATAAAAATTTTAGAAATGATTATCGTATAATGTGACAACAAATGTCACAGAGATGTAGCAACTATGCAATGTAATGAGTCAAGCACAACCCGTTCCATTTTCTCTGTAAAACAACATCGAGATATGCCTTGTCGGCATATTCTCAACTTGATAGATATGCCGCTAGCACGAGACGCATTCCAGCGGTATAATTATTGTTTTAGAAAAAAGCCAAGACATAACCGCGTTTACGTCAGTACGATATAATCCCGTCTTACGATACAACTTGCCATCATACAATTTTCCTATACATAATTAATTGCATTGTTTAATATTTTAAATGTTAACTCTTATATATATTTTTTCATCAAGTAAAAATTACAAATATTTGTATTATATCTTGAAGTACATCGCGATTATTGAAAGTATTCGGTAACGCGAAAGTGTACATAAACATTATATGTATGCTGCTATTAAAAGTTTTTTTTATTCAATATATATTTTATTATTATTATATTATTTTATTATTGTTTTCTTATGATTTTCTACTTAGTAGATACAAAATTCTTCAAATAAAAAGGTTCAGAATTGTGCACTAAAATGTGTACACAATGAAATTAGAAATAGAAGCATCTACAAGAGAGTTTATGAGCCATGATATGACAGCTCGACACCCGTTTGAGAATTCGACGATTCCAATTAATTTGGCATCGCTAATTTGGCATCGCGGCCGGCCAGCTGGAAAGACTTATGCACGCCGCTTTGTAGTCGCATTGCTTTCATAAACAATGCTCGATAGGGGGATAAGTCTTCGGGGGCACTTGGTCGACAGCCAATAACCAGCGCCGCGAGTCGTATGCCGGCGTTCTCTTGGGAGAACCCAAGAACAAGCGTAAACCGGGTGTGTGTTAGCTTCGATATAACGACATGTTTAGAGACCTGCTCTATCCGATCGCCGCCTTCTCCTCCCCCTCCTTCTCTCTACCTTCCGGCTTTTACCCCGAGCGCGTACAACTCGAGGCAATCCCCTCGTCTCTCCCCTCTCTTTCCCAGGGGCGCTCTCTGTTTCGCACCTACAAATTGGTATTCCCACTTAGAGAGGAATTCGTGTCAGGGAACGATTAATTTTACCGGCGGCATTTTGGCCACGGTCCAACCGCCCCGCGTCAGTAACAACCGGTGCGAGAAAGAGAAACGAGGAAATTTAGACAAAGAGATATATATATATATATAGACATCTTTCGATTGAGAGAGACAGAGACAGAGAGAGAAGAGAGAGAGAAAGAACAGTAGAATTCATTCCATGTTCTGTAAAACAGAATCCTCTCGGAACGTTATACGCGACATACAACTACTGTGTATACGTGTGATGGTGAATGTGGTCGATGCGCACGAAATAAAAGAGGACAACAGATGACAAAATATTGTGTGCCAGAAAAAATTAATCTGACATAAAAATAAGATTTATGATTGATAAAAATTTTATAAATGTATAAGCTGTTTAAATCCCGTCGTGATGATATCAATTCATATCCATAACTCGCATATAGAAAAATAGGATGATCAAACTAGCAAAATAGTAATTTATAGTAGAAGCTATAGTAGAAGTAAATAATCGAGCAGTGGCTTCTTAACAAAAAGCGAAGCATAATATTAACATAAATTACAAAGAATGACTTGTCATGCTTTTCTTAATAGAAAATGCAATACTTTAACGTTTTTTACATCATAGATTATTTATGAATTTATTATAATCTATAAATCTATATACTCGCACGCGCACACATAATTTATAATTATTATTTCAAGTTACATTATATGCAGAATTTTTGATTTGGTAAATTAAAACCTATGTTTTGTGTCAGAGATTTAAATTAATTATTTTGTCCAGATTGAAAATTTAGTAAACAAAATATAAAATGTATCATAATTTATATCTTCGCAGATTAGCTCTACTCATGTCACGGCGCGAAAAGGTGATATATATCCGGTAGTTAATCGAGAGAAGAAGCGGAAGTCGCGAAATCACACGATCGCGACGGAGCTCGGGAACTTGCTCCGGCCTTAAGTTACATCGTACCCGCATTAAGTTACAAGATTAATCGCGCGACTTCGAGGAGTTCCGCGACGAAAATAATATCCGGTGCCATTTATACCGAGTGGGATAAAGACGAGTCGTTAAGGCGAGAAGGCGGCGCTTGCTCTCGCCGCTCGCCGGTCTCGTAACAATTCCACGAATGGAGATTGACGGC